AATTTGCGGGGAGCTATGCAAAAAACGCATCTTCGCACGGGCAGCCCGTGCGTTGGCCAATTATTTATGCTAATAGGCGATCGGACGAAAGAAAAACAGGAACAACAATAATAATACTCAGTAGGGTAAACGGCTTTTATAGTGTACATGGTCGGGTGAGCGAGTCGTGCGAGCCAAACACAATTGAGCGGCATGGTGAACCGAGAATCACGCGTAACTGATCACGAAAGCGCTTGGCTCGTTTTGGTTATAGGGAAGTTAGTTGTGGAGTTTCATGGTAAATGTAAATGTGTCACTTTTTGGAATTTCTTATTTCCAGGTGATTTTTGATAAGCCAGATACGGTGTTTCAAAGCACTGCAATTTTGAACAGCGATGATAATATGAATTTGGATGCGGCGCTAACCGAATACGAGAATTCGGCCATCGTCATAGGGCCAGAACATTGTCAACAGATCGAAACACTGCCTATTGATCTCTTCTATATAGGTCTCACCGATCCACTTCGTGCAGGTATAGTGAATTTTTTTGAATTTTATACCCAAAACTCCGCTACATGCCCGTTTTCCAAGAAAGGCGATAGGAACATCTTGTTTTAGGAAAAATAAGAAAATTTGTACCGAACAGCAAGCATGTGATATTTTGCTGCCGTCCTGTAAACGGTCCTGAGAATCACGGGTGATCTCCTGGGGAGGGGGGAGGGTTTTTTCTTCCCACCCCCCTCCCCTCGTCAGCACTTCTCCCTCCCTTCTTCCTTCCTTCCCCCTCGATCAGCTAGCTACCCATCGCTCGATCGTCTCGCTATCTCCCTTCGCCGTCTCCCCCGGTCATCATATTGACGCCCCGCTACTCCCTTTCCCCTCCTCCCCGGGCTTCCGAGCTCCCCACTGCTAGCTGGCTCTATGTGCGGCAACGGTCAGGCGGGGAAAAGGGGGAGGGGACGACAAGCGGTATCGAACAGAGTTTTCTGCAGTAAAACAGCTGCTACCTGAGCACCTGCTGGGGGAAGGGGAAGGGATGAGAGCGAAAGACCGCTCCCCCTGCCCCTGGAATCGCCAGTGCCGAGAGCTGCTTGATATCAACGGTGGATGGAATCATTTGCACTGGTGTTTGTTTAGAATGAAAAACTTGTAGAGGAGCAAATTTTCTTTTACAATGTCGCGTCCACTTGTTCCAGCAGATTTGCTGGATCGTCAGTAACTAATTTTTTATGAAGAAAGAAATTTTTTGTTGTCGAAAATTGGAAAATTTTCAAGCGAATCTATCCAATTTCTTTAATTTGTGTTGGATTTTAACTCATAATTCAACAATTTTCGTATAAAATTAATGCATCAAAATTGTTATTTTGTCGGAGCTAGATAAAAGGATCTTTGATCCGTTTGAATTCAAAAAGACAGAAATTCCTCAAGCATTTTTTTTGCTGTAGCTTTTTCTGTTTCAAAATTTCTCGAGGATGAGATGAATTCAAATTTTTCATAAAATGGATCAGTTCGTTTTACTGATGTTTGAAATCACAAATCTCAACTTTTGAGTATTTTTAAAAAGTAGAAGGCAGTACGGACCGTAACGACCCTATAAGCAGTAGAAAAAGGTTAAAGAGCTCACGGCCAATTCAGTGAAGAGTAAAGGACAGTTATTTTTAAGTTCAAATTTTTTATAAAAAAGATCAGTTCGGTTTACTGATATTTGAAATCACAAATCCCAATTTTTGAGTATTTTTAAAAAGTAGAAGGCAGTACCGGCCGTAACGACCCTGTGAGCATCAGAAAAAGGTTAGAGAGCTCACGGCCAATTCAGTGAAGGGTAAAGGACAGTTATTTTTAAGAACTCGAAGTGTTGATGATGAATATTCGGTTTTGAGCTTCTTTTTGTTTTCATCGAAATTTCAGTCATGGAATATAAGGGACCTGGATTTGTACGTGATATTAAAAAAACGTTGGATTACATAGAAGTACCAGTAGTACCAGCTGCAACACCTCGAATTCTTAGTGTGTCGGAACTGCTGGCTTTGACGCGTCGACCTGATAACGCATGTGGAGTTGTTGTTGAGAAACCCAAGTACGTTTAACTTTTCTTTTTAGCGGTGCTGGTGATAACTCGTCTTAGCTGAAAATTGATAAAAAGGAGCAGAAATTGTGAGGGAGAAACGAGTGAAATATGGCTGTTAAGTAGTGCAAATGTATATGTGTAGAGTTATATCTATAGGGGAGGCACACGCCAAGTCTTCGACTCTGGTTTGATAATCTGTGATCTTGACTAACGATGAATATATGCTGTTGTATTAGTGTGTGTGTGCGTATGTGTGTGTGTGTGTGTGTATATGTGTGTGTGCGTATGTGTGTGTGCATATGTGCGTGTGTGTATGTGTGTGTATGTGTGTGTGTGTGCATACATGCGTGTATGTGCGCATGTGTGAGTCCGCATGTGTGTGTGTGCGTTTGTGTGTGAAATAAACTTGCCCTAACTCGGTCAGATCGTCGCGACAAGATCGGCCTCGCTGTCGCTCGTCCAGCGCACAATCTACATCTGTACACCTCGTTAATTTAAGCCCCCCTTCCATCACTTCGTTTTCGGTCCGAACAATTCAACGTCAGGAACAACGGCATAACAATAGCATCAAACTGTAACAATGGCATCAACCTTATTCATACTTTATAGTTTGTTACTACGTTCTACTTATGCGTTTTTTGCAGCTATGCAGTGCAAAAACGCATATTGACGAGGGGTTGTCTGTGAGTGTGTTTGTGTGTCCATGTGTGCGTCTGTCCCGTTTTTTCATCTCAAGACCCACAAAAGCTACAGGGCTGAAATTTTGGGGACTTAATTTACATGCACTTGCAGGCCCCAATCCCAAAAATGGACGCCATTACCCGCGTAGTACCCGCATGCGAGTCCGCCAAAGTTTTTTACGGGTAAGTCCATAACTCGGGAATCTGAGAAGCTAGAAAGCTGAAATCTTAGGAGGATCTTCCCCGTCTAAACGGGTATTAACGCGCTCAAACCTAGCCCATGGGTAAGCATGGTACCCGCGTACGAGACCGCCGAAATTTTTTTCGGGTAAGCTCATAACTCGGGGATCTGAGAAGCTAGAAAGCTGAAATCTTAGGAGGATCTTCCCCGTCTAAACGGGTATTGACGCGCTCAAACCCAGCCCATGGGTAAGCATGGTACCCGCGTACGAGACCGCCGAAATTTTTTTCGGGTAAGCTCGTAACTCGGGGATCTGAGAAGCTAGAAAGCTGAAATCTTAGGAGGATCTTCCCCGTCTAAACAGGTATTAACGCGCTCAAACGCTGCCTGCAGTTAAGCGTGGTACCTACGTATGGGCCCGTTAAGGTTTCTTTCGGGTAAGTTGCTAACTCGGGAACGTTAGAAGCTAGAAGACTGGGACTTTGAAGGGATGTTACCTGACAGTCCTGGCAGCCAGTCTGAAATTCTTTTAGCTAGAAGCATCTGCCGGAAAAACCAGTGCCGTTAGCGACAAAAATCTGCGGAGGGCTATGCAAAAAACGCATCTTCGCACGGGTAGCCCGTGCGTTGGCCAGTTATTTTGTCTTTGTTCAAGGAAATGTGGTTTTATTGAGAGAATAAAAATGTGGATTGGCTGAATTAAAGGAATGTACACAGCATGTTTGTTCCACTGTTGAAATTCTGCGGTATTCTACTTCATGCACATGTTTTGCAGGGATGAAAGTATAGCGGAAACGACGCAAGAACATAAAAAAGACGATGAGAACATGATATGTGCCACAGTTGTAGTTGATTTACAGGGAAAAATTTCGACAATTGACAATAATCCTACCAATTCAGAGGTATAAATTTTTTTTTGTTTTTGAGGAATTGGCGAAGAATTTAAAAAAAAAAAAGATGAAATGTTGGAAATGTTAGATTTTTTTTTAAGGAAGTGGAGAGGAATTTTAAAAAAACGTGAAAATCTTGAAAACCTTATGATGTGTTTTTGAGAATTTTTAAATTTTCCTTAATTATGTGGTAATTTGTGCTTTCTTAATTTTTTAAGACTTTTGGGGAGAAATTTTCAGCAGCTCGAGATGGTTCACACTTCGGGACGAAAACGCCGTCATTCCTCTCCTACTCGCCCTGACAATTTTGATGCGGTTCGTTTACTTTTCAAATTTTTTTAATCTAATTTTAAGCTTATTTTAGATATACCTGTAATATCTGTTTTTATCCCTGAAAGCGCTCTGTTGAGCACTTTCGCGGCAGGTCTTCTTTGCTCTTGGTTTTTCTATCGCGGTTTTTCTATCGCGACCCTAATAGTTAGCTTATTAAACTAGTGCATGTCCCTTTTGTATGTGTAAGACGTCGGGTCCTATATACATATTTATAATAAAGCGAGAATACATGTCAGAGCGAGAATAAATGTTGGACATGGTGTGGCTCTGGGGAGCCGAAGCTTCCCAGAATAAGAGTATTGATTAAGTAGAAGAAATAGGTCGCAGTGGTGGATAGGTAAAACAATGAAGATCTCGGCGATGGGGAGGAGTGCTTTTATACGCCAGGGGACAAAGATCGATAGTTTAATGAGGGTAGGGTGGTCGAATTTTGAACCGGGGACAAGGGTACTGCGTCATAGTAACATACGTGATCTTTAATCTCTTTAACAAAAACCATTAATCATTATTTGATATATTACGCGATAGTTCACAAATTGTTGGATTGCTTCAATTTCGACTTTGCTAACCTTGTTATGTTGCGATGAGATTTCTGAAGGTAAACAGTTGAGTTACGGCAGAATTAGCACAACATATTTTACGTAAAAGTTTATTTAGCATTACAACCAGAAAGGGGGGTACGGAAATTAAAATCAACTGTGTGGGAAGGAAAGTCCTAAAAAGTGCGAAGGGTCAGGAATTTCAGCTAGATTAATGCAAAACCTATAGTGGGGCACGAAATTCCCATAATTTAGCCAAAAAGTCGAAAAAAAAGTAGCTTGGGAGTGCTAATTTGATTTAAAAATTGAATGGCTTCATCCAAAAAAAAAGCTGAATTTATCGCCATAACACTGAAAACTATGATTTTTTATGCCTAAAAAGATCGAGAGTAAGACAGGTAAAGAGAGCCATTTTGGTCATGAGAAGTAGTACTTTTTTATGCAGAAATACCACTTGAGGTAGGAAAATCATGAGGAAGGTCTCATTCGGTTTTTTTCGGAAACTCAACATATGTCAGATTTGATAACTGCTTTTTTTTGCAGGAACATAATGAAATGCCATCGACAAGCACAACGCTGTCAGCTCCCAGAGGAAAATACATTTCACTGAACGTGCAAGATCTCCAAACTACTCCCGAAATTCCAAGTAATCCATTCTTACTAAAATTGCGATTTTTTTTTTAAAATTTCATTAAATACCAAGCATGAAACTGAACCGAAACATTTCTTACCATTAAAAATAATTTTCAATACATTTAAAATTTTATTAATTTCTTCTTTTCAATATTAAAATATTTTAGTATTTTATTAACTTTTAGACTGATTTTAGAAGCAGTTTTTCGAAACTCAATCGCTAATGATTGAGTTTAGCAGAGTTTACGAGGAGAATAGCTTGCCTTTTTTTAGCTTGGCTTGAGTTTTTTTCTTTGATTTATTTGATAAATATGAATAAATTTAATTTTGAGGAATTGCACAAAATCAAAATATTTGTTA